AGCTTCTTCTTCTCCTCCGTTAGCACCAGGATCAGCTCCTCCTGGCTTTGAGCTCACTTTTTGGCTCTAAGAACTTCCCCCCGAGTTAAGTCCAACTCATGATAAAGCTTTTGAGCGTTCTCCTCGACCTCCCGAGCTCGCTTCAAGTGGATTTTAGATTGGTAGACGAGCGAGTGGATAGCGGAGTTCACCTAAAAAATAGAAAGCAACTGTAAGTGTCATTGACAGAAGAATAAGAAAGTAAGTGAAAGGGCAAGTTACTTACCACCATACAGTAGGAGGCTGCCTTCCCTCCAAGCTGACTTGTTGGCATGTCAGCCCACTTTGTGACCACTGCAGGAAACATGACATCCTTGCTCTTAAGGAGCCCAAGCCTCAGAGTCATTATGCTCTCCTTTGCTGAAGGGGGCTGAGGCTCGGGCATCGAAGTAACTTCAGGGGCGCGAGGCGGGGTCCCCTCATCCTGATCCTCGTCCAAGTCAACAACCGAGGGCTGGGTACGGACCTCCTCCCCCGGGAGCTCGGTAGAGGGTGCCTCTGGTGCTGCGACTTTGGGATCGGCAGGAACCGAAGAGGTGACCTCCTCTTGACGGGACCTCTTCGAAGCCTTTCTCTTCTTCCCTTTTTGAACACTTTTTAAAAGGTTATCTGCGTCAACACCCGTCATAACTTCTGCAAGAGAGAAGAAAAAGAGTTAGTTGCGAATTGAAGTAAGTGCAAAAAAAAGAAAAAGGAGAAGTAATGTGTGTGTTGAGGTGGAGGCCTACCAGGAAGACTCAGCGCAGCTCGTACAAGCTTCTCCTTCGCTAGGAAATCTTCCATCTCAAGGCTAAGGTCCCTCCAAGAGTGGATGACCGCCCTAATCTCTACATCCAGCCTCACCCCGGGGTCCTTAATGGCCACTCGCTAGTGAGTCGGGAATGGCCATCCTTCAGAATTTCAAACAAAGAAGTACCTCCTCTTCCAGGCCGATACCTTGTTCGGGTTACTGAACAAAACCTTGAACTCGGGGTGAGGTGAGATATAGTAGCTCTGTCGAGCGTCCCCGTGCAGGCAAGAAGAGTTCTTCTTAATGAAACAAATCGAGCTAAAGATGTCTAAAGTAAGAGGTCGTTTATACTCGTGGAAAAGTGAGATCTTACCAACAATGGTACAGATGGAGTTCCGGTGTAGTAGGTCAATGGTGACATTAAAGAACTTAATGATTTCTACGATGAAGGGGTGGAGTGGGAAACACAACCCAACTACGAGCTGCTCCTAAAAAAACACGAGTTCGTTATGATCGTGAACCCAAGGGTACTGACACTAAGGAATGCTGAAAACATGGGTGTCGGGGAGACGGTAACGAGCTATCAAGGACAACAAACTGTCTGGGGTCATCGTGGAGGGGCCAAAGTTGTCCGGATCCTGACTTTGAGTAGAAGACAAGACACCCTCTCCGGAGGCCGGCCGCTCTACCTGAGGTTTGGGTTCTTCAAATCGAGATGGCCCGACGTCAAGTAAAGGCATTTATCCTAAAAGGTTTAAAGAGGGGCTCTCCAATGAAGAGCTGACCTCACCAACGGGAGCTGAGGACTGCACCTCGGCACCCCCGGGCTCGCTAGAGTCACTAAGTAACATATCTATACTATCAATAGACATATTGGACAGGAAAAAGAAAAGGGAACAACTAGTGAAAGAGGGCGAACTCACCAAAGAAGACGATAATGACTTTGGACACAAGGGAAAGAATGGCGAGCTAAAGGACTCCAATGTGATCTCAGGAGAGCTCAGTTACACAACTTATGGCGAAGGTAATGGGCCTTTCGGCCCCCTATTTATAGTCCACCACATTCGGCAATCAACGATTGAGAATTGTACGATCTAACGGCTCCCATGAAAACTGGTTGCATGCTACCCGAGGACGAAATCGGTTGAGCGCGCCCTTTGGCATTTGCAAATTTATAAACAGTGTAATGCCTGCATGTGGCCGAGACGCAATATGGGTCATTTCATGGTTGAGCTAGATGATTGAACATGTCCGACCAGTGGTTCGCCCTTCAAGTTGCCTAGACTTTGTGCCAAACCCACCTAGACTCGTCATGAACTCCCCGCACTGGGTCGGGACCCCTGGCACGGGGAGTGGGGGCAATTGATGAAGGGTGATTTGGCACGACCTAGTAAGAAGGGGACACGTAGATGCGATCTGTTCGAGGGGTGACAACTCAGCCAAAGGAACCCGACCCGCAACATTCTGAGCTCGGATGTTCAGCCACCTTGGCCCCAAAACCACCTCGACACCCAATCCAATTCGGAGCTAAAGCGTCGAAATGCCACATAATCTACTCGAAAGGCCTCCCCAACAGACCCCGAATTTCTCAGATCACGACGAGACTCAGCCTAACTCCGTTTGAATCGAAGGTAGACAATAAACCTTATCAACACATTGCTCTCCTTAAAAAACGGAACAAATCTTATCCGCACAGTCCAGAGATCCCGGAGCGCTTTTGTAAGGCCCATGACTATTCCATTATATAAGGATATAAAACCTCAAGACAAAGGTACGCGTGATTATTTTACTCTCTAACATTCAATCACTCAAGTATTCAGCTCGCATCCATAGTATAATACTGATTTAAGTATCAGAGTAAACTCGCCGAATTAGCTACCCCAGGTTCTCTGATCCACTATTTTGCAGATTAGTCCAACTCACAGCATAATTGGATTTCGAATCATCTTCCAAGCACCATCTGCAACTTTGATTTCAGACCTATAATTGTGCATTCTCATCGTTATCGAACAGCAAACGATCAACCGACCAGGCCAAAGTACGGCAACCAGCCCATTCTTTCTGCAAATTGTTAACAAGTTTAATTAAGTTGTTAACAATTGATAGGATGGAGAAAAGCTCGCAGGCCGCAGTTTCGTTTGACAGGGTAGCCGCTGGCTCAAGTACCCAAGGCATGCCAGCCCCTTGCTTTCTAGTGCGTTGGCACTCAGTCCATCTCCATGCTCGAGCACAAAGCTTGAACTTTGGACTTTGGACTTTCGAAGGCTAAAGTGGACAAAAACACTACTGACACACTTTTGACTTGTTGAGTTCAAGGCTTTATTAGTTAATTAAACATGCCCGTCCATGATTGCAAAAAACACGAAGCGGAGCAGGTTTGGTCCCAATTCCCAAGGCCCTCTCCTTGCAGGACCACCCACCAGACCCAGAGGCTGACCAGATTCAAAAACTCTGCAGAATCGCTAACGAATATCTGCAACTGCAACAGAAGTGATTGTTAATTGGTCTGATTAGAGCTGATCCATCCTTGAATTATTGAAGGATTAGTTTTGTATTTGAAAAGAAGGTCGATGTGACGGAGTGAATGCGCAAGGGGAGCGTCGCGTAGGGCGGGAGGAGCCGAGGAGGGTTGGCCAACCGACAGACAGTCAAGGCCCAAGGGGTATGGCCGGGTGGGTTGATGCAACAAAACAAATAGAGACCATCACGGTCATTCATTAGTAAGACAACACGTCAAGCCCTCCGTGACAATCACGCCTCAATGTCTGACTTATCTCGTTCTCCTCCTCAGTCCTACTCCTCACCGGCTTATTAGCCTTCTTTCTATACCCTCTTCTCCTTTCTTCTTCTTCTTCTTCTTCTTCTTCTTCTTCTTCTTCTTAACAATATCCTCTCCTGGTCGAAGTGAGTGAACATAAAGATGTATGTAATAGGACCATCTATTTTCTTTATTTTACTACAATAGAATAGAGTTAGTTGGATTAAATGTGAACCGACTTGAAAAATCCAAAATATTGGACTCAAATCGGATTTAGATTTAGGATTTCAGTAATCAGATCACATTCACATACATGTAGCTGAATCCGTGCCGAATCCAATCCTATTGCATCCTTTCCCTACCTAATGGAAATGGAATATTCCTTTTCACTGCTCAAATTCCATTGTTCGGATCCACTACCAAAGAGAATGGAATTCAACAACACCAAGATTTTTAACCTTCAAATTCCAGGTTAGAAATTTTACTTTTTACATGAGCAATTGCATCCCTTTAATACGGATTTTAGTCTGTTCACAAAGGGTGTCTGCTAAAAAAGTTTACAAAGTACTTCAGAAACATATCCACGTGAATTTAAGATAAAAGTGCCAACGTATGGCTGAATGCCAAGCTCTCAGGGTGTGTTCTCACGATTGGATCCGATTCCACAAAATTCCAAACTTTACAGATTCCAAAATTCGGGCGGTGAGTGGTGATTCCAGCCACAGCTCAAATTCCACAATCCAGCCTTGATCTGAAACGACGAGAAAAACAAAATACCGATCCAGCGGGTGCCCACAGTTACTATACGATTCGTTTCCTAGGTCCTGTCCTATTATTGTATCAGAGTCCTGGAATCACGCCACCCGAGTGATCTCCAGTCCCCACACCCACCGGTCTTCTGGAATTTAAGACCCCCACGCCTCCACCTCAGCACATGTCTCATGCGTGGGCTGTCAAGCAAGCCTCACAGTACAACCCAAGTACAACAACCCGGCCCAGCCCACCATCTTTGACTATAAAGTCCTCTCCCCTTCTCCGCTTACGTCTTCATGTCGTCAATCTTACGTCTCGCCCCTCCGCTTCCAGACCCTCAGTCCACACCGCCCGTTCCGCATCCAACGGCGCAGACCAAAAGGTCCACCCTACACCTCATCTTTTACTTTTACTTCCTCTAGTGCCATTAACCTTTTAATTAATTAAATCATTTACTGAGAGTAAGCCCTATCCCTTCTTGACCCAAGTAAACTCCTTTCTAGAAGGCCTCATTCATCATTCATCATTCATCAAATAGAACTATCCAAAATTACAATTCCACCCTCCAACTTTTCATGTTTAGCCAAAACCCGCCTCCCAAAAATGGAAATTTTCCTATAAGTGAACGAAATCATACTCACCCATTCCCATTTGTCTCCTTTAATTTGTGCATTTTGCAATTGCATTGATTGTGCGTGCGTGGTGCAATGAACAGAGAGATGGAGAAAGATCAATTTATAATATATTGCTCATATGCGCCTGATAGAAAAGATGATTCCTAAAACACCCCTGACTAGGTGCAAAAGTATTAACAGAACCCCCGATCCCCTATTACAAAGCGGCTGAAAATTACAGGTTACTAGCTGAAAAAAAAAAGAACATGAACAAAAAAGTGCCGGAAATATATTTATAAAGGACGAAAAAACGAAAGAAAAATAAAAAAAAGACAAAAGTCAGATAACAGCTTTTGATTTGTTTTTTTTTGTTTTTACATTACTCTCCACGACTCCAGAGTCGGGAAGCTCTGGAAGGCGTCGAAATCTAAACCTGTGCTACCGTTTGCCACCGGCGCAAACGAGACGTGGGCCTGGGGCATGGAGGTTGGACCCACCATCTGGTTCTGCTGCTGGTGATGATCTAACAGAAACGCCGACGTGTCGAGAGTCGGCAAGCAGCCCTGCAACCGGGTACCGGGACGTTGGGGTTCTGGTTTAAGGATGGGACCGGGGACGGGCGAATTGCCGAACCGGACGCCGGTGACCTGTTGCACCATCTGGCGGAAGTTGGCGGGGTCGGCCGTGATGAAGGTAGTGGGAGACCGCTTCGACGCCCGGGACTTGCGCTTTGAGATCTTTCCGGTGGCGGCGGGGGCCGTGTTCCGGCGTTTCGTGGCCATTTCGGGCTCCGATCCTGAGCCCGTTGGTGTTGGCACGGTTTCGGGCTTGATGAGGTTGAAGATTGAAGCGGCCGAGTTGGTATCTCCTGCTACTGTTAGCGTGTCGGAGTCGTTGGAGAGAGACTTCTGCAGAGCCTTGGTTAGGGTTTCGGTGTCACGGAGGAAAGCGTCGGAGACCCACGAGTCGGTGAAGGTCCGGAAAGTCCACGGCTCGAGGCTGGCCAAGTTATCAGAAGATGCCATCTTCTCGTACTCCCTTTATCTTTCTCGCCTTGTCGCGATTCGAGTGCAATTCCAAGCGGAAACAGAAATGACAGAAATAAAGAACTTCTCACTGCATAGTTCCGTTACTTGGACAAAATTCACCAGAAAATCAACGAATTTGCTGATTATGGCGGGAAGCTAGTTGTACTCGAACTGGTTAGACACTTGAAATACGTAGATCTAAAGGAGGGTACAAGTAAAGCCGGAAGCCAGGGGAAGAAGGGATTCGACAAGCTATGAAGCGCGGAAAACAGAGAGAATAGAAAGTAGTTGATAATTCGACGAAGCTGAGATGAATTACAGAGCCTGAGAACTGTTATGAAAGCAGTGTAAAACCCAGAGGAAATACCTCAAATCGAAACGAATCTAAGGAGAATTTGCGTGAAGAAACTTCAGAACAAAGCTCAATGAACGACTAAGAGTCGAAGGAAATCACTCCACTCTCCGACGAGAGCTAACCAGAGAAGATGAGCAGCAGGGGAGTGTATGAGACAGTATATAAAGAGAGAGAAAGAGAAGGAATAAGCGAGAGAAGAAGCGCAGAAAGAGGAGAGAGAGGGAAGAGAGAGAGGAGAAATGAGCGTTGCATCGAGGAGGTCTAGCGGATTAAATAGGGCGGTGAGAGGAAACCGCGTCTATCAAGACACGTGTCACTTTCCAGTACGGACCTAACCCGTGTGGTTAGAACTTGACTCGACAGTGTGGTTAAGCAACTAAGCAAGAGGGTAAATGCGTCAAGATACAACCCTGCCAATCACACGGGTTCTCGAAACAACGTTGCCACAGTAGATCTCTTCTGCGCGGTAAAGGTGGAGGCAAGCAAGGGTAAAATCGTAAATGCAGTGCAACTTTTAAAACTTTTGTTACGAAAAAAATTTAAAAAACAAAAGCGGTTTACGTTCCTGACGGTGAAGCCGCGTCATCGTCTCATCTCTCATGTCGACGTCGACGACGCGGTTAGCCTCAGTTTAGGCTCACATCCCCCGAAAATTTCGATTTTGGCATCTTCTTGGGCTCCTATTTTGAATACCGAGGATACTCATGGACTTTTGAGATAATTACGAACTACTGCTTGTAACGGAATCTTCTTGAGCTGTTGTTCACGGCTCAAGCGCTCAAGTCAACTGTAAATGTTATGTGAGCCATTTGCTTTGTCCGTTCCTCTCCAACTTAAGTGGGGAACTGTGGGATGGAAATTGACGTCCACATTCTATCAATAATCTATCGTGTGTTGATGTCTATAGAGGGGAGTAGTGTAGACTAGGGGGTAGAGGCTAAAGATAGAGAGTGGTACGTGGACACTTGAAGTTTCAATCAGAACCATTCGATGGTCTATCCTTCTGAATTGGATCCAAATCGAACCGAATCGAATACAAAGGTATATCCAAACTTGATTCGTTTTGTATTCGGATTTGAATCGAATTGGCTTATACTATCAATAAAATTAAATTAAAAATAATCAAAATATTTATATATGATTTTAATATTTATATATCATGAACAAAATATTATTTGTTTTGTAGTATGGTATTATTTGCATGGCAGTGGAAAATATTATTCATTTTCATTTCCAACATCATATCTTTGTGGTATTACATTTGAACTCTAATCAATCAATTGGTATCATAAAAATAGTAAGCAACCAGGTGCCATTTATCAAAATGTATCGGGGTTGATTTGTCAAATATCTTTAGATATCATGTCTTTCCAGCAATATACATAGATTTTCTCTTTTTTATATTATGACTTGTTTGTAATGACAAAAGGGAAACATACGATTATCTTTTCTGTAATTCCACTTTAATATCCCAAACTTTGGGGTAGTGTCAAGTTAGTATTCTTAACTTTCAAGCATGTCACTGTAGTGACACGTTTGAACGTTCCGGTACTAATTTGACACTATCATGTTTAGGGTATTAAATTAGAATTTTCCTTTTAAAATATACATTTTTAAAATAATAATTAAGGATGTGCTGATGATCCAATATATTGAATGGTCACTTCTCATCCCTTTAAAAGAGGAGGCACGAAATCAAATTTGCATCACCACACATACTCTCTATGGTAAGATTAGTGGACCTCATGTGCACCCTGCTCTGTTCCCACTAAATCGGTTGATGGGCCGAGTAGTCCAATGGGCCTGCTTGGCCCAGCCCGATCTAAGTCAGGCTTGGCTAGGATTTCAAGCCCATGGACTCAGGCTCGGGCCTAAAATATCAAGCCCGACCTGTTTTTGGGTTGGGCTCGGGTTTTCTCAAAAATGCCCAGCCCGAGACCGAGTCCAACTTGATAATGTATTATGTAATAAAAAAGCACATAGATATATAAGATTTTTTCTTTATTTTCTTCTCTTTTTTCAAGTAATAATAAGATCTTTTATTATTTTTTAGGTTTTGAGGTCTTTTAATATAAATAAAATAGTTTTTAATTGAACTAAAAAGTAAAAAAATATATTTTCCAAATTTCTGGCTGCGCTTGGACTCGGGCTAATGCCTGGGCTTCGGGCTTTATATGAGGGTCGAGCTCGGGCTTAAGACCTAGGCCCAATGTTCAGGTCGGGCTCAGGCTCAGGCCTGAGCATATTCTGTTAATGTAGAGGCAAAACCCAACCTTAACCCGACCCTGCCCAGCTTGTGAACAGGTCTAGTTCCCACTAGACTTGTTCATGGGTCGGGTTTTGGGTTTGACTTTACACTATGTCAGGCTCGGGCTTCGGGTTGGGCCTATTCAAAATTTGTCAAAAATCCAAAACTAAGTCCAGCCCATGAATAGGTCTAGTCCCCACCCCATGACCCTTAAATGTGTGTTATATAATAAAAAGGGTAAAAATACAAAAACCTCCCCTAAAGTTTCTAATAATCATAAAACCTCCCCTATAGTTTCATTTTAACAAATACCTCCCCTTAATTTTTGAGAAACTTGACAAAAATCACTTTCCCAGACAGAAAGCGTTAGATTGATGTACCAGTTTCTTCCAAATACCCATTCTATCCTTTTATAAATTATTTTACATGCAAAATTACTGAAATAACCATATTTTTACTTGACAATAACCTCCTTTTAACGACCATCTTCTAATCTTTTTGTCGAGTTAAAATAGGGTTATTCAATAATTTTGTATGTAAAATAATTTATAAAAGGGTAGAATGGGTATTTAGAAGAAATCGATACATCAGTCTAAGGTTTTCCGTCTAGGAAAATGATGGAAGGGAGATTTTTGTCGAATTTCTTAAAAGTTCAGAGGAGGTATTTATTAAAATGAAACTGTAGGAAATGTTTTTATTATTGTCAAAAACTTCAGGGAAGATTTTTGTATTTTACTCTAATAAAAAAGAAGAAGAAAAGGGAAATGATAAAATGGATTTGTTTTGTCATAAAATGGATCAAAGATAGTCATTATAAAATGCTTTGTGGAATTTGATAAGGTTCAAGATACCGATGTCCCACAAATTAAGTAACCCTAAAGAATGTAAGAGTTGAGGCCTACATAAGAGAGAAATGGAAACAGTTTCTTGTCAATCTCATGAGACTAAAGTACACAAGAGCCACAACCACTTTTGAAACCTAGAAACGCCTTCAATATTATGCGGCTGATGTAGGATATAGACGCATACGACTGCCTTTTTAGAGGCAGCTCCGAGAATAACCCCTGTTGAGACTATGCAACCACTTATGGCTGTCTCCAAAAACCCAACACCAAAGACACTTTATAAACTTAGTTAGAATCTCCTCCATCTTACAAATTTAAAGATATTTGTGGCCATTCACTCAAAATCTGTAGGGCATTTCATTAAAGGGAGCCCTAAAATTTGTAGGGCATTTATGGCTGCCCCTAAAATTCATGCCTTTCATTTTTAGAGAAGTTCTAATTGTTTTAAAAAGTTATTTCTAACTTGGTAGATAACATCATTATTTATATATATCTAAGTTCGTATGTATAGAACATTGTTGTCAAAACGAGTACAAATACATATAAAATAATACAAAATATAAAGTTTTACACTCTATTAAGTTGGTTCAATTTTGTCAATCTCATGATATATATGTAGATATTACCAAAAAAATGATATATATATATAGAAAGAATTAGAATTCTCTAATTGAAAATCTTAATATTCACAAATTTAGGTAATACCAAAAGAAACTTTTATTTTTTCAAAATCGTGTGGACATCTTTTCTTTGTTTAAGATAAATCTATGATGCCAAAAAAGATATGATACTGAAAGAACATTGACCAATCAAAAAACCCTAATGAATTTTGATGAACATGATAGGTTCATTACGGTGTCACATTAAGAATATCTTCCATATTTATATATTACCATTCATAGAGAGATGTTCCCAACAGTGAACAACTGTAGTATCTTATGGGTAAATGTGGGTAGGATTCTTGTGGATAGGACATCTAGATTGTGATTGGTTACCCTTTTGTGATACTGGTTGATTGGTTACAAGTTTTTTTAGCTGAACCCATTTATTTATTACTTGCAACAATATTTCTTATTCACTTCTCTATTAACGTGGATATAACTCTTTTTAGATACTGTCCTATCCTTATTTACCATCCACTTTTAATAGTCACTGTGTAGTCTTTGTCTATCACATGGTGGCCTAAGTCTATAACCATGTATTGTTTTGTCTTTATTTGTACAACATATGTCCTTTATGATGTAAGAATTTGCATTGTATCTAAATACTTCATCTCATTTTTCTTTCAAAAAATTGGAGGGCGTTCAAGATTTATTCTCTAGAACAATCACCCTTTTTTTAATTTTTAATGAGTATATTCCAATGTCTCAAAAAACCATAATTCCATATATTATATTGCTGTTATATTCATCTTGGAAAATAATATTATTTTGCTATTTACATATCTTAAAGCAATTAGGGGTCATTACTTGGTATAATCATAAAATTTCAGGCTGTTGAGTGTTTTTTTTTCATTTTTTTTTTGTTTTTTTTTGTTTTTGTAGGTTCGGGCTGTCAAGTGTGAGAACACGGGTTTAAGTCGAAGAACAGCCATTTTATGAGAAAAAAAAAAGAGAGAGAGAAAAGTTAGGATATAGGGCCATATCCAGCTGACCCCTCCCAAGACCCCAGATATAGCTGAGACAAACACTGGATAATAGTCTTTTTAATCCAATTAATTATGCCAGCAAGAACACATTTATATTAGTGATTTATAATGTACTTCTTTATTGTCTAATAGTCATCCTTCTTGATTTAAATTTTATAATGTACCTCTTATATATATATATATATATTTGTATACTTTTTAAGGACTTTATTAGGAATTTTTTTAACAATGCTTTACTAGATACATCATGCATAATTTTGGGGGTTTTTACAATATGAATGTTTTTATTTTCATTTGCTTTTTTAACTGTCATCGGTCAAAAAACAGAAAACACATTCCTAAACTGTGTTTTTGTTTTGAAAAGCAAAATCAAATTGGTTTTATTTCAATAGAAAGCATATGTTTTAAAACCATCAAAATAAGTGATTTTCAAAACAAAGACAAATTTTATGATATAGAAATTATATGATTACAGAATATGATTTTAAATAGTCAGACGAAA